TTTCAAAAAGATCACTCTGGGAGCTGGAGGTATAACTTGGTGGACTAATTTGCACAAGACAAGCCCTTTTCATACCCTGCACCACCAAAAACAAAACAAAACAAAACCACAAATCTCTGCCAACAAGCACCCACGTATAAAATGGAACATAATATTCACGTCTCAGTGTTGCTGCAGAGATGAAATAAAATTATCACAAGCCTCTTAAAACAGAAATTATCCTCAGTAATAGGAGTCATAGATAAATCAAATGTGATTTGACTCCTAAGGGAATAAATCAGAAGTAACAAGTGTGGCTTTAAGGAATTTTTTTTTTTGCCAGAAAAATATTTTGATTTTTTAAAGATAGTTGCCAATATTTAATAATCTGGAGTTTTTACATAATTTCAGGGTACCTGGCTTCTCTTAAGAATCTAAAGACCCACCAGGTAAAGTGGCACAAGACTGTTATTCCAGATACTGAGGCAGGAGGATCACAAGTTCACGGTCAACCTTGAACTTAAGGTTAACTAAGTTACTAAGTTGAAGTAACTTAGGGAGACCCCGTCTCAAAATAAAAGTCAAGAAGGGCTGGGGATGTGGTTCAAGGGTAGCGCTCCCTGAGTTCTCAACCCCCATTACAGAAAGAAAAAAAAAAATCCTTTGAACTATGTCCCAGGGCAGGGATCTTAAGGGTGGTCTGGTGGCAGCTTCCTGTTTTGGAGGGGGAATGACATCAATTTGGCCCAGTCCCCATCTGGCCTACTTCATTAACTGATGTCATCTGACTCCTCTGGACATTGGCGTAAGTAAATGTGAGCAAGGATTTGGGGAGCTAGGAAAGCTCTGACCTAAGGGGAGCTGGAAGTGATCTCATACAAAATAGCAGGGCCCTCATCGATGACATCGCATCTATTTTGCAGAAAGGCTGGGGGGTGGGGGAAGGAAGAGGCATCCTAAACCCAAGTAGACAGATAGATTAACAAGGCCCCTCAATCTTAGAAACATTTTGGTTTCAAGTTTGGTTACAAGTAACAGATGCAAATTTCAGCAAGTCTTAGCAGTTAAGAGAACCTGGCTGAAAAGTAACTACCGTTATGTCAACACACCAGATTTTTTAATGTTGGCAACACAACATCATGTGATGGGGCCAGGCGTGGTTCAGTGGTAGAACGCTTGCCTAGCATGTGTGATACACTGAGTTAGATCCTCAGCACCACATAAAAAAAATAAACAAATAAAATAAAGGTATAGTGTTCATCTACAACTTAAAAAAATCATGTGATGATAAATATATACAATTGTATTTATCAATTCAAAAGAAAAAAATAAACTGGGTGCAGTGGTGCACACCTGTAATCCTAAGGACTTGGGAGACTTGAGACCGGAGAACTGCGGGTTCAAAGCCAGCCTCAGCAATATCGAGGTGCTAAGCAACTCAGTGAGACCCTATCTCTAAAGAAAATACAAAATAGGGCTGGGGATGTGGCTCAGTGGTCAAGTGCCCTGAGTTCAATCTCCGGTATGCCCCTGCCAGTTGTCTATCTGGTATATCTTAAAGGGGGAGGGGCAGAGTCATTCTGCAGTGCACTAGTGCTTTCTACACATTGCATTATGATGGGAAATGGGTGGCAGAAAGCTGACCCATTGAACCAGCTGCAGCTGCAGGAGCCTGTAGTCCCAAATGCTTGGGAGATTGAGGCAGCAGGGTCAGTTAAGCCCAGGAATTGGAGTCCATCCTGGGCAACATAGAGGCTATGTCTCAAAAAAAGAAAAACCCAAGGACGGTGGTTCATACCTGTAATCCCGGCTACTCAGGAGACCAAGTTAGAGGATGGCAAGTCAGAGGACAGCCCGGGCAAATAAGTGAGACCCTGTCTCAAAATTAAAAAGAAAAAGGTGGAGGGCCTGGAGATGTAGCTTAGCCGTAGAGCACCCCTGGGTTCAATCCCCAGGGCTGAAAGAAGAAAAGAAAGAAAGAGAGCAAGAGAGAAAGAAAGAAAAAGGTATAACTGGTGAAGTATTTTGAAGAAAGAAGAAACAAATTAGAAAATGTGGGTTGGATGATGTAGGAAAACAGCCTCCATTGGGTGTGGTGGCACATGCCTCTAATCCCAGTGACCTGGGAAGGTAAGGCAGGAGGATTGCAAGTTCAAAGCCAGCCTCAGCAACTCAGCAAGGCCTTCAGCAATTTAGCAAGATCCTGTCTCAAAATAAAAGGACTGGGGATGTATCTCAGTGGTATAGCACCCCTGGTTTTAATCATGAGTACAAAAGAGACACCTTTTTTGGCAGAATTCTAGAGAAGTTTCTAAGTGGGAAATGAGAATTGGGATAGAAAGCTGGAGTTAGAAAAGACCCCTAAACGTAGGTATTAATTGAATGTCCCCCACCCCACCCCATCCTCACACATTCTTCCTCCACACAAAACAGCTAGTTGCAATGTGAGGGGTCTTCACTAAGGAAATTGAACTCACTCTTTGGTAACAGTAAAGACAGTTGGAGTGAGAGCTACTGTCTCAAATAAATTCCTCCTATGGAGTCCCCTAGCACCATAAATGTAATTTCTCCAAAAATCCAGCAAGTTCACATGAACCCCAGAGAGCCTTTACATGACCTCCATCTCAAAACTGCATCCTGACAAGGCTTGCCAAACAGTCAAGGGAGCCTGCTGGGAGGAGGAGGACCAGACAAGCAGGGAAAGGTCCTCTGAGGTAAAGAGCAGTAAGGAGAAGCAGTTAGTGTCCTTAGGGGAAGTGGAAGTGGTTCTATCCATTAAACAAGAACAGCGTGTCTTCAAAAATGAAACTTGGAACCAGTAATTTTTTTTTTTTTTTTTGGTACCAGGGATTGAACCCAGAGGTGCTGGGTACATGTATGCAAAGAATGAAAAAGAATTATAATATATAGGAGAAATCTAAATAAATTTGTTAAATTTGAAATCTCTTATAACTTTCCTGTACATCTAAGATTACATGTAAGGGCTGGGGTTGTGTGGCTCAGTGGCAGAGCGCTTGCTTAGCATGTGTGAGGCACTGGGTTCAATCCTCAGCACCACATAAAAATAAATAAAATAAAGGTATTGTGTCCATCTGCAACTAAAAAAAAAATTAAAGATTACATTTAAATAAATTAAAAATATTTTTTAAAAAGACACCAGATCAGAAGGTTTCAAAGCCGATTTTTTTCTAATTATTAAAAATCAAATCTTACAGGGCATGGTAGTACACACCTGTAATCCCAGCTGTTTGGAGGTTGAGGCAGGAGGATTGCAAGATCCAGACCAGCCTCAGCAATTTAGTGAGACAGTTGAGGGATGGGGTAAGGATGTGACTCAGTGGTAAAGCATCCCTGTGTTCAAACCCCAGTACAAAAAAAAAAAAAAAAGAATTTTTTTGAGGCGGGTACCAGGGATTGAACTCAGCGGCACTCAACCACTGAGGCACATCCCTAGCCCCATTTTGTATTTTATTTAGAAACAGGGTCTCACTGAGTTGCTTAGGGCCTCACTGTTGCTGAAGATGGCTTTGAACACCCAATCTTCCTGCTTCAGCCTCCTGAGCAACTGGGATACAGGCATGTGACACCGAGCCCTGCAAAAAAAAAAAAAGAATTTTTATATCTACATAAAACACATGCTGCATAAATACATTTTAAAGAAAATCTGAAATAGGCGAAACTGTTCCAGTGAGACAGAAGGTGACTGCTTTTGGAGAGGTGTATCTGGGAGGGACAAGAGGGAACAGAGGAAAGCTTCAGGGACGCTTGCAGTGATCTGTTTTGTTTTGTTTTGTTTTAGTACTGGGGATTGAACTGAGGGCACTTAACCACTGAGCCACATCCCCAGCCTATTTTTATATTTTCATTAGTGACAGGGTCTCACTGAGTTGCTTAAAACCTTGCTAAATTCCTGAGGTTGGCTTTGAACTCATAATTCTCCTGCCTCAACCTCCCGAGCCACTGGGATTACAAGTATGCACCACCATGGGAGAAATGCACTGTAATCTTGATGGAAGACCTGTTCCACAGCTATGTTTATTTCTAAAACTTAGATACATTTAAAGTTTTATATTTTATGTATCCATATTATGCTACTGGATTTTTTTTTTTTTTAAGTATCAGGGATTGGACCCAGGTGCTTAACCACTGAGCCACATCCTCAACACTTTTTATTTTTTATTTTGGGACAGTGTCTTGCTGAATTGCTGGGGCTGGCCTTGAACTTGCAATCCTCCTGCCTCAAATGCTAACATTACAGGTGTGCACCACCACATCTTGTGTAAGTATGATTTTTTTAAAAAGTCTAATAACCTATTTACTGCAGATCTACGCCAGTATCAATTCTAAAAACACTTCCATCAAAATGCTATCACAAAAGATAGGGACATCTGCTGTACGTGTTATTATTCAACATTGTCATAGTGGTTGTATCAATTTCAACTCGATAAGAAAATGAAGTCATCAGTGTAAATACTAGGAATGCCAAGACAAAAGTATCATTTCCAGATCCCCTGGAGCTTTTGCTCCGGTTCTTTCTCTTCTATCACAAATTGTCATAAAATAATTGCCTCATCTTATCGTCTCCATTTTTTTTCCTCCTCCATTTTTTCTTGATTCCGTGCTCTGTGGGCCTCTTTCCCACTTCTCCACTGAAATGAGGTTGCCAATGAGCTTCCTGCCACCAGCTCCAGTGGTCACCTCTCTGTGTCCTCCTTGCCCTATCAGCAGCATCTGCCCAGGGGATCCCTTCCTCCTCCCAGGGAGGCTTCTCCCTCTGGAGATCAGCTCTCAGTCCTCCTAGTCTCTGACTGCTCTTCCTCTCCATACTGAGTCCCCTCACCGAATCCTCCACCTCTGAGGGCACAGGCCTGGGATCTCTTCTTATCTACATTCTGCTCCCAGTGCAGGTGACATCATCCAGTGTGTGGCTTTATCCTCCCGTTACTATTCCAAGAGCTCCAGATTCCTATCACCCCAGCTCTGCCCCCTGCCCTGACCTCCAGACAAGGAACCCACCAGCTGAACTTTTCCACTGGGTAGTCCAGTGGTCCTCTCCAGCTTAACACGGCCAAACTTTCAGAAAGGTGACTGTCACGTGTTCTCTCTCATAGGCAGAATCTAAAAATAAATAAATAAATTGAAATGCAGAAGGGAAACTTTTAGGGAAAGGGGTTGGGGGAGGGGAGTGTGGTGGGAGGGGCCGTGGGGAGGGTGGATCCAAAGCAGGTTATGTGCCTGTATGGAAATGTCGCAATGGAACCCATTAACCTGTACAATCCATAGGTGCTAACAGTTAAACTTAAAAAAAATTTTTTTTTAAAGTGGCAGATTTGAATTCTGACTTTGGATGCAAAGCGGGCTCCTCTCCCCATCATTCCTCATCTCTTAGTGAGAGTCCCCTTCCTCCCACTGTTCAGTCCCAAAATATCGTCTCCTCTTTCCAGTCCATCAGTCGTGGTGTCAACTCTGTCTCCAGAGTCGAGCCTCCGTTTGGACACATCTTACACCTCCACAGTTGCCATCCTTGTGCAAACTGCCATCACCTGTCATCACCCTAGTGTAAGCCACCATCACCTGTCACCTGGATTATTCAATTTGGCTCCTGCTTGCCTTTGTCCTTGGATAGCACATTCTCCACTCAACAGCCAGTAATGAATCTTTTTTTTTTTCTTTTTTCCAATGCTAGGGATTGAAGCCAGAGCTTCGTAATGCTAGGCAAGCACTCTGCCACTCGTCCCCAGCCCCCAGTGGTCCTTCTAAAACTTGTCATCTCTCTGCTTACCCCCAAAAGTGCACCAACTCACATACTAACCCCAGGATCTTTACCTCTACCAGGAATATTCTTGTTCTAGTGCTTCTCGTGACACATGTCACTGCTCCAATGTCATCCGATCAGAGTGGTCTTCCTCAAAAAATGCATCTAACATGGCCCCTCTGACCAGGTATGGTAGTGCATGTCTGTAGTGCCAGCTCTGAGGAGGCTGAAGCAGGAGGATCACTTGAGTCCAGGAGTTCAAAACCAGCCTTGGGCAACACAGCAAGACCACATCTAAAAATAATTAGAAAAGTACAGAGATTAGCTCTCTGGTTACTTTTTTTTTTAAGAGAGAGAGAATCTTAATATTTATTTTTAGTTTTTGGTGGACACAACATCTTTGTTTGTATGTGGTGCTGAGGATTGAACCCGGGCCGCACGCATGCCAGGCGAGCGCGCTACCACTTGAGCCACATCCCCAGCCCCAACTTTTTGGTTTTTTATTTTTTACTTAAGGCCTCACTTAGTTGCTGAGCCTGACTTTGAATTTGTGATTCTTCTGCCTCAGTCTCCCGAGTCACTGGGAATACAGGCATGTGCCACCGTGCCCAGCTCCCCTGATGTATTTTATATTAATTTATTCATGATTATCCATTTCTATCCATGTATATTTACAATCTGAATGTGTCTAAGACATGCATTTCAAGTGGAAATAACAGGCTTCATATAGCACATAATATAGTAAGCTGTCTTTCACTTACTTATGTTTGTATGTAATTGAAAGGCAGTCTGGTATAAATCCCACTATCATGTGTAATTATAATGCATCAATTTTTAAAAAAGGCAAGCTGAATGACATAGGCAAGAAAGTTCTGGTGGCTTCTGTGTTTGTGGATTAAGAATGGTCATCCCCCACCTAGTCTCCAAGCCTGCCTTAATTTTGTTGGCCTATTTTTTCTTTCTTTTTATTTTATTTTATTTTTTTAGTTGTAGATGGACACAACACCTTTATTTTATTTATTTATTTTTATGTGGTGCTGAGGATTGACCCAGGGCCTCACATGTGTAAGGCAAGCGCTCTACCACTGAGCCACAACCCCAGCCTTGCTTGCTTATATTTTCTAAGTTTTCCAAATTCACTTCATACCTGAGAGGAAAAATAAGAGATAGATAAATCCAGAAGTGGAGACATTATCTAATAAGAATTCTAGAATGAGAGACTAGAAAGATAAAAATAATTTTTTCCTTCAGGAATGGTGGAATAGGTGGGCATGGTGTTAACCACCTGTAATCTCAGCTACTCAGAAGGCTGAGGCAGGAAGATCCCATGAGCCAAAGAGTTGAAGGTCTTCCTGCACAACATAGCAAGATCTCATCTCCAAATAAAGATGTTTAATAACCTAACAACACTGACTTTCAAAGGGAAGGTGTTAAGAGTCTCAATCTGGTCATTCCTAGAATGTAAATTCCCTTCCTTCTTCCTGTCTCCATCCTATACCATTTGGAGAAGCACCCTCAATCAGACCAAGAAAGATGCCTACCTACACACACACACACGCACACACACACACGCACACACACACACACGCAGGCGCACACGGACTGGGAGCAAACCAAACACTGCAGTACATTTATGTAACTAAGAGAGGTCACTCCAGGGAACCTTCCCTGGACAGCTTCAGTCCCTACTTGACTTTTTGTGTCCTGAGCTGAGTAACAACTAGCAACTTTTAAACAGCAGTTTTGTTTATTTTATTTTAACAAAAAAGTAAAAAAAAAAAAAAAAGAAAGACCTGTCTCTTTAGGCAGCCTTCTACATTATATTTTTTAACATTTTTAGTTGTAAATGGAAACAATACCATTATTATTTTATTCATTTTTTTATGTGGTGCTGAGGATCGAACCCAGTGCCTCCCATGTGCTCGGCAAGTGCTCCACCACTGAGCCCCAGCCCCAGCCCCAGCCGACCTTCTATATTATTAACAGCTAAGAGACCATTAAATCCTGCTCAGTCCTGCCCTTTCCTGATCCCACCCCACAGCCTGGAGTGCGCAGATGTGCTACCTGCACCCTACCATGCTATGCCCTGGCTGCCCTCTCCAAGACTATGGAGGACCAAGTGGCATCTAGTGGGTAACAAAACAGACCTCCCCAAAATCTCCTCTTCCTTTTTCACTCAGATATTTAGGAAGATGTACCAGTTTATGTGTGATTCTGCAGAGAAAAAAGTGGTCAGTGGTAAGTAGTTCATAACCAGCTCTGGGTGCAAAGATGGCTGTCGGTTTGTAACCCTTGCTGGTTTCATTGGTGAGAATATACCTCACTGTGGTTGATTCAAGCCACCCAACTTGATGTCAACCTGAATATACATTACACAGCTCTCAGGAGCTGAGGTCAGCAGGCTCCGGAACACCACAGTAAACCCAGGGCTCTTCCCGAGGACATACAGACGCAGCGTCCTGGTGAGTCTTGACAGAGGTGTACTCCCTGTAGCCCACACCCTACAGAGCATTCTATAAAAATTAGAATTAATTCAAAACTGGGCATGGTGGCCCACACCTGTAATCCCAACTACTCGGGTGGCTGAGGAAGGAGGATAATAAATTTGAGGTGAGTCTTGGTAATGTAGCAAGGACCTGTCTCAAAACAACAGAACAAACAGGCTGGGGCTCTAGCTCAGTGGTAGAGGGTTTGACTAGCACGTGTGCAGCACTAGGTTTTGATCCTCAGCACCACATAAAAATAAACAAGTAAAATAAAGGCAGTGTGTCCATCTACAATTAAAAATATTAACAAACCAACCAACAAGTCTGAGGTTGTAACTAAGTGGTAGAGCACTTGCTGCACATGCAAATAGCCCTAGAGTCAATCCTCGTACTAAAAGGAAGGAAAAAAAGAAAGAAGAAGAAGAAAGGAGGAGGAGGGGAAATGAATTCTAATTAAGTTTAGATGAAGTCTTGCTTCTGTCCCACCTCTGCAGAGCCTTGGTATTTCGCAACATGTCCTTTATAAGGATTTATGTTCAGGCAACATGGACAGCAAGGGACAAACATTTGAGAGTCCAATAGGTTTGGTTCGTAACAATATAATTGTCCCAACCCCTAGGACCTGTGCTACTTAGCTAACTAAGCAGCTTCCTATTTCTGGGTCTCAGTTGCCCCTTTGTGAAATTGGGATAATGACACCTGAGAAACTTGTTGTGAGAAATAAGAGAGACAATATTCATTAAACACTTGAAATTCAGTTAGGAGGGCCATGAATAATTGCTTATATATAACACTATGTTTAAAAATCAGAATACCATACCAGGCATGGTGGTCCACGCCTGTAATCCTAGCCACTCGGGAGGCTGAGGCAGGAGGACCACAAGTTCAAAGCCAGCCTCAGCAATGGTGAGACCCTGTCTCTAAATAAAACACAAAATAGGGCTGGGGATGTGGCTCAGTGGTTGAGTGACCCTGGGTTCAATGCCTGGGACCAAAACAAAAATGAACAAATAAAATAAAATAAATAAAAATCAGAATACCAATCTCCTCCTGTGTTTTATTGGCAGAGATGCACTGGTTGGCTGGGGTGAGGGTATGGGAAATGAACAGCAGAGAAGCATAATGGCCTTATCAGGGCGATGATTTATCTATTTATTTATATACTTATTTATTTATTTGGTTCTGGGGATTGAATCCAGGGCCTTGCCAATACTAAGTACATATTCCTCCCCTGAGCTACATACTTAAGCCCGAAACTGCATTATCTTGAGAAGGGTGTGGGCTACAGGGGCATGCACCTTCGTCAGAACTCATCTAACTGTACACTTACAACCTGAGGACTCTGTTCTGTGCAAATTATACCTCTATTTAAAAAAATGTTGCCACACCTGTAGCCTCAGCTACGTGGAAGACTGAGGCAGAAGGATCACTTGAGACCAGGAATTTGGGACCATCCCAGACAAGAGTCCATGTCAACCAAGTTCAGCATACATTCCTGTAATCCCAGCAGCTGGGGAGGCTGAAACAGGAGGATCATAGACAGATTCAGAAATTTAGAGAGGTATTAAGCAACTCAGTGAGACCCTGTCTCTAAATAAAATACAAAAAAGGGACAGGGACATGGATCAGTGGTTAATTGCCCCTGAGTTCAATCCCTGGTACCAAAATTAATAAACAAATAAATATAAATAAACAATGGATTAAAAACTAGCTGGGCATGGTGGTACATACCTCTTCTCCCAGCGACTCAGAAGGTTGAGGCAAGAGGATCACAAGTTCCAGGCCAGCCTCAGCAACTTACCAAGACCCTGTAAATAAAGTTTACAAAGGGCTGAGGATATAACTCAGTGGTAGAGGGCACCTGAATTCAATCGCCAGTACTACAAAAAACAAAAACAATAAAATCCCAAACTGAAATAAGTAGTAAAGAGACATGATTATAGATTATAAGTGACTTCAAAGACTTATCAGAAAGGGGCTGGGGATGTGGCTCAAGCGGTAGCGCGCTCGCCTGGCATGCATGCGACCCGGGTTCGAGCCTCAGCACCACATACAAACAAAGATGTTGTGTCTGCTGATAACTAAAAAATAAATATTAAAAAATTCTCTAAAAAAAAAAAAAAAAGACTTATCAGAAAAAAAAAAGAGCCAGTATTATAGCACATATCTGTAATCCCAACAATTCAGGAGGCTAAGACAGGAGGATCACAAATTTGAGGCCAACCTCTGTGATTTGGCAAGACCCTGTCTCAAAACGAAAAAAAAGTAATACTAATAAAAGGTCTGAAAATATAGCTCAGTGGCAGAGTAGCCCTGGGTTCAATCCCCAAAAAGGAAGAAGAAGGGAAATAACCATATAAACTAACAAGTGGAGATGGGAAAGATCTGAGTGAGCAGGCCACACCAAGCCAAAACCCTTCTGGGAGTCTGCTGGGAGGTGACCTGAATCTGTCTCCGGCATAGAAGCGTCCATGGATGCCCAGCCCAGACAATGAGACTCAGCTGAAAAAGTTCACCTAGGCTGGTCTTGGTAGCACTGACTCGGGAAGGCCGAGGCAGGAGGGTCACAGGTATGAGGCTAGCGTGGGCAACTTAGCAAGACCCTGCCTCAAACAAGATTTCTTTTTTTTGTTGTTGTTGTTGTTTTTTTGAAAAAAACAAGATTTCTTAAAAGTCTGGTATAGCTCAGCGGTAGGGCATGGGTGAAGCCTGGGACATCTCACCTCATAGACCCAGCTGCTGAATGAAATTCACCCCACAGACACAGCAATGGACCCAAGCCTGCCTTTGAAGATTGTTAAGCTACACCTTCCTGCTTTGTGCTTTTTTTTTTTGGTACAGGGATTAAACCAAGTGCTATCACTGAGCTACATCCCCAATTCAGTCCTTCTTTATTTTTAAATTTATTTATTGGGGGGGGGGGTACCGGGGATTAAACTCAGGGGCATTTGAACACTAAGCCACATCCCCAGCCCTATTTTGAATTTCCTTTAAAGACAGGATCTCACTGAGTTGCTTAGTGCCTCCCTTTTGTTGAGGCTGGCTTTCGTGGTGATCCTCCTGCCTCAGCCTCCAGAGCCACTGGGATTACAGGCATGCGCCACTGTGCCTGGCCCTTTTTTATGTTTGTTTGTTTTTTCTAGGAAAAAATAGATTTATTTGTATTGGTTTTTATTTTTTATTTTATTTTTCAAAAATCAGTCTTTTGAATACAATTTTATTTGTTTTAGTTATAGGTGGACACAATAACCTTTATTTTATTTTTATGTGGTGCTAAGGATCGAACCCAGTGCCTCATGCGAGCTAGGCAAGTGCTCTACCGCTGAGCCACAACCCCAGTCCCTATTTTTTATTTTTTGAAACAGGTTCTCACTAAATTGCTCAAATTGCTGAGGCTGGCATTGAACCTCCTGCCTCGGCCTCCTGAGTCACTGGGATTACATGTGCACACCACCACACCTGCCTGTGTCCCTGTCTGCAACCAGTGCTGCCTCACGGACTGCTCCAAAATTCCACCCTCCCCAACCCACCGGGATCTGGGATCTGCCTGAAGACTGTTGCCAAGAGACCAAAGGCTGAGGAAGCCCAACCAAAACCTGTCCTGCAATATTAACACAAAAGATAAAAAAAGATGTCAGAAAAAAAAATAATTCTTTCAAACCAACAATTGACCCTGTTTATACCTTGTCCTAGCACCCCCCCAAAAAATGTCACAAATACACAAGAAATCAGCAGTTACTACAAGATGAAAAATAAGTAATTAGGAAAATAAGCAGAACCTCCTTTTCCCACCATCCAGAAGATACTCAACTGAAGGCAGTGTAAATTCTTTTAGGCAAGCACTCCAGCCACTGAGCTATATCCCCAGCCCTGTGTTACCTCCTTGCTTTTTTATTTTTTTATTTATTAGAATTTTAAAATGTTTCTATTAGTGCCTTATAGCTATACATAATATTGGAGTTCATTTTGACATATCATTCATGCTTGCATGGAATATAATTTGCTCCATTTCAGTCCTCCATACATCCACTTTCCCGCCCCTCTCCCCCTCCCCTGTTCTCCCTGTTCATTTCTACAAGTTTAATCCGGATCCAAAAAAAATCTGCAAGGGGAACAATGGTATCCACGGGAACAAACTGCAATATAAATTCATTATTGCTTTTCAGATAAGACACAGCCAGTCATGGGGGATCACGCCTGTAATCCCAGCTACTCGGGAGGCTGAGGCAAAAGGACCACAATTTTGAGGCCAGCCTCAGCAAATTAACCAAACTCCTGTCTTAAAATAAAAAGCATGAATGTCTGGGATGTAGCTCAGTGGCTAGAATACCCCTGGATTTGATCTGAAGACTGGGGGATTAAACTCAGGGGCATTTGAACACTACTTAGGGGTAAGCTTAGGGGTACAGTTTAGTTGTAGTTCACTTGCCTACTGTGTGAAGCCAGGGTTTGATGCACCACCAAAAAAAAAAAAAAAGAGGGGGAAGAAAAATAAATAAACACCATAACAACAACTCAGATACAGTTTTGAGACTCAAGTTGATATAAAAATTCACGAAGTGACATTTAGAAAAATGTTATTTTTAAATGACTTGCTTTCATGTTCCTTTGGAATGGACATGTGTAATTTATGCTAGAATTTGACACTGAATCTACATCAAAGTTGCTTGAAATTTCTCAACAAGAGGCTGATTTAGATCTTGTTTTTGAAGGTGACTCAGTTTAAGAAATGTGTATGTTGCAATCCACTTCCTAGTTTTTCTTTCTGCCCAAATATGCTCTCATGGTTAACAGACCAAAGTACAATAAAATGAACAAAAGATAACCTGTGACACTGTGTGGGGCAAGCATTCTTTGTCCTTTAGGAGAAAGAAACACGTTGAGCGTATCTGGAAAAAGATCTCTTGCAGTCATAATTAGTAAACAAGAGTAGCAATAAAAAGAGCTTATATAGTTATGGTCCCAGGTTAAGGAGGTCTTAGAAAGTAATTTAGTTTGCCACAGAGTGATGCAGCTCTTTGTTTCTGGTGGAAGCAGTTGACCCTGGTTAGTTTTCACCCTGGACTCTCAGGGCTGAGTGTAATCTGAGCAACCATTTTGTAATCATGGTGCTCGGATTCCTGAGCGAGGAAGGAGAGTGAGCTTATCATCAGCAGGCAGGGGCTGGGACAGGGCAGGGGACAATACCAGAAACAGAGGAGTCCCTCGGTTATGTATAAAATGGCCCATTTCACCCTGACTCCACTTTCTGTTAATCAGATCAATATTCTTTTATCAATGTTATTAAGGGCCTTTGAAAACTTGTTCTAAACTGGGCGCATACATGCTTGTAATTCCAGCTATTTGGGAGGCTAGGGCAGTAGGATGGCAGCAAGTTCAAGGCCAGCCTCTGCAAGTTTGTGAGAACCTGTCTCAAAAAAAATAAAAAGGGGGGCTGGGGATGTGGCTTAAGCGGTAGCGCGCTCGCCTGGCATGCATGCGGCCCGGGTTCGATCCTCAGCACCACATACAAACAAAGATGTTGTGTCCGCCGAAAACTAAAAAAAATAAATAAATATTAAAAAAATAAAATAAAAAGGGCGGGAGATGGAACACAAACGTTAATTACCCTGGATGCAATCCCCGGGAAAAAAAAAAAAAAAAAAAAAAAGGAGGAGGAGGAGGAAGAGTGGGGGATGTGACTCAGGGATAGAGTGCTTTCCTGGCCCATGTGAGGCCCTGACTCTCATCCCTAGTGCCCATGTGTGTGCGCGCGTGCGTACACACACACACACACACACTCAAGTAAGTCATCAAGCACAGCAAACTAGCAGCAGAGGGACCCTCTAATAGGGTTGGGATTGGTTTGATGCTCATAGCAGGCTTTAGCCTTAGCTGTAACACATACATTTTTTATGAAGAGACAGGATCTGTGCATTTTATATGCAGTCAGGAACTATTTTTAAATGAATCTAACCCCACTTAAGTGTTGAGTTTCTACCCGAGATGCCCGTCACTTGGAAGCCAGGGAGAGCAGTCCTGACTGAGCAGCCACCTGAATCATCATGTAGTATGTCTGCCCTCAAGGAGCCAAAGCCTAGGGGCGGAGACAGAGTCACAGAAAGCACACTGTGAAGACTCCACAGTAAGGGGGACATCAAGGGCTGGCACCACCAGCTCCTGTTTACAGGACAAGCGTAGTCCATCTAAACCTCAAGGCAATCCTAAAGCCCCGTCTACGGTTACTTCCATTTTATAAAGACTCTAAGCCAGACTGCAGCCCATGTCCATAGTCCTGGCTGCTGAGGAGGCTGAGGAGGGAGGCTCATGTGAGCCTAGGAGTTCATGGCCAGCATCCAAAACAGGAAGAGACATTCTCAGAAAAAGAAATGGAAGGAAAGAAAGGTAAAAAGACCAAGGCTTGGAAAGAATAAGGTACTTATTTGAGAACAAGGTGTCAAAGTTAGTAATAATAGTAGCTAACGCTTACAGAATGATCAGTACAACATACAT